TACGAATGTTTCGCACAATTAACGAAAAATTAGTTTCATCACCGAAATCAGTTTTTACCTAAATATATTTTCAGTGTATGACCGTAGAAACATTTAGGTTTCTGGGAGTGAGAATTTTGGAAATTCGCATAAATTTATCGGTGCCTCCCTTAGCTCAGTCGGTAATGGCGCAGCAACAAAGTAAGACCATGCTGGAGATGGCTGGGTTCGATTTCCGGTCCGGTGTAGGAATATTTGGGGTTGGAAAATGTCTCGACTTCTCTGGGCATAGAGTATGATTGTTCTTCCCACACAATTATACAAATGCAAAAATGCTACAAGGAATCGAAAGCTTTCAATTAACAACTGTGGAAGTGCATCTATAGCACTAAGTTGAGAGCATGCAATAAGCTAATATGCGATAAGCAATAAGCTTGAAAAGCGAAGAAGAAACATTTCCCGTCTCATGCTTCATCATGTCATCCAATCCATGATTGGCAGCTAATCAGTATCCGTTTCTGCCGGCGCCGGTGGTGTAGTGGTAAGCGTGACTGCTTCCTAACACCCCGATGGGTCTGGGTTCAATCCCAGCCGAGGTCGGAAGGATTTTTTTGAGGCATAAAAATCTCTGGTCACGTCTTCCTTCGGAAGGGAAGTAAAGCCGTTGGTCCCGGCCCATGTGTGTTGTGAATGGGTGCGATATCCTACGCAGGTGTGGAAGCTGCCTTCCTGCACATTCGATTGCCGTCAATGGATGGCAATCGATGTCCGCCGGTGATTGGCACTAGATTGCGGAACAGAGACCGACGTTAAAATAAAGGAAAGGAAAAAGCATCCTTTTCTTGCAAAATTTGACCAAGAGCATACATATCAGCTACCACAATACCTAAAATATAGACATTGATATCCCAAGTCTGCGTCAGTTCAGTTGGTGCTTTAAAAAAATTGATGTGATAGTGCAAGCCAGTCCAGATATCATAAGCTTTTATTCAGTATTTACATTAACTTAATATTCTGGATTAGCGAGCTTCATTTAAAAAGAAAAAGTGGTTGCAATCATTTCAGTCACCCTCCAGTTTGATTCATAACCCCAAAGTGGTGCTAACAATGGTAAAGTATGATACGGGTGAAATGGTTTACTGCTTGTATGGATATTTTGGTGAATTACTATGGGGAATTTATAAATTTCTCTAATTTCGCACAAATTTTGGTTATATTTGTCCAAACTTGTGTCCTGGTAATGCTGGTAAAATAGAATTATTGGTTGCTATGGTAATATTCAACAATGCTTTTGTTGTTCTTATTGTTGTAATGAGACTGACATCCATAATTTTACATACATAGCATTATTCGAAGACATTTTAAACCATACTGATTGAACTACAATTTACCCAATTCGCGTGAATGAGGATATTAAAATAAATTTTCCTTCACCCAGATGGGTAAGAATTTTCGCAACAAGAAACGTTGGCAACTGGCATAGTAATCAACTGTCAATTTTCTCCTATTACCCCTTCCCTGCAACCCCTAGTTGAAAAAGCACCCAGCCCTGCTTCTGCCCTTTTGTCAGCAGATAGATAATGTGAAGAAATTGAACCGAAGGAATTCATAAATAAATAAATATTTAAGAGCACACGTGTCGGAGCGGGAAAATCGAAAAAATATTCGTTTCAAAACACACCAACCGGCAGAGAGTAGGTAATGTGAAAATTACAAGGCAGAAAATTTAATACTGTTGCTGTACTGAATTCGATCGTTTCATTTTTTTTCTAGCTTCTTTCGTTCTATCCAGTAGGTATTTTTCACTCAGGGTGTCCTGGGCGTTGAAGGGCGTTCCCAGCGCCTGTCAGCAGTAATTTATCACAACATATCTCCACCGTTGGAAGAATTTTCCAATGCAAGAGGGTGGCTAATCGTAATTTAACTAGTGTATAATTTACAACCTGCTGAAAGAAGAAAAAATACTGGAAAACTTCCAATGCACGAAAATTACGAGTGGAAAACTCGGTGGCAAATGTTTTCAGTTCTTCTGTTTTGTACCTTTAAATCCGTACGGATGGTGAAGAAAATTGAATAGCAACGGAAGTATTTCCATGAGCTCGAGGAATGCATTTAGTCGTGCAAGAATTCGCAGAATGCGTTCAAGTGTGGCGTGAAATGAAATTCTTGCAACTGCTGCACCTAAAGCTGAAGGACGGTGAGTTGTAGAGACAAACCTTTATTTCAGAGTTCTTTTGGCTTTCAGTTTAGAAGAGAGAAGTGAATTTTCCATGTGACCATTGGGATTCGTCTCGATAGCGTACCTACCAGACTCCGTCTTTTGGGATGAATGCTATAATCCACCAAGTACGCACACCTCACTGTGCAAGCTCTATTATCAATGATCACAAGAAAGGATGCTCCCAATAAAGTATGCAAATTTATGTGAATGGAAATTTATAGACGCGCATAGCTAACACGAACATCGGTGGTGGGGTCTGCCAGTATAATCCTGGCACGGAAGTCCAAAGCCCACGCGAAAAGTTCCAGTTTCCGGAGCGATGCAGGTCTTGGCGTCGGCATCATCACACGTTTTAGAATTATCCTGCTGCCTGTTCTACTGTTATATCGAAGCATGAGAATGGATACGCTCGGTTCTGCCACCTCCTTACGCGGTGGTGCTGAAAGCATAAATCAGCATAGAAAATCGCGAAAACTCCCACTTTCAGCTGAGACTACCGGAAAACACCGAACGCGATAGCATGTTCAGATCTGGCACGCTGAATGTGCGGAAACCTTGTTGGCAGCGTTTGCTGCTGGTGAAAACCTGAAACTGATATCATGATGATGTGTAAAAAGCTTATATATTGGGTGTGGTTTAATTTGCCACCAATTTGCATACTACACGAGTACAGTTTACTTCACATCCTCGTACTGCTTTGAAATAGGGAAACGAGTGAGCCAAGATGCGACTCTCGACACCCCATCATCACCATATAGTCATCATCAGCGACTGGGTTTTCGCCGTACAATCTACCCACACGTAGCACTAGGAGGTTTTCACGAGAGCTCACACTCAGACGCTTTTCACGTTTCAGTTAAATTAAGATAGATGTACCGTACGTGGAAACCACACGTTCACTCTCTACATCGGTGGTGGCCACCTAGAGCTGCTCATTGGTATACATCGGAGTGGAGTATCCTCCATCGGGCACTAGCATATATATGCAATCGCGTGTGTGTTCTCGGACAACGAATTTAGCCGGGTGTGAGGCTATAATTTAGACCATCAAACGTACGTACATGTCTGTACACCCAACAGGAACTCGAAAGCAACGGAACCACGGCAGAAAAACTGTTGTAGCACCTCCAAAAGTGGAAAACCACCATCATCAACTAGAACTAGCGGCCGCTGCGTCTGAGGAAAGAGGTAGCTTCGCATAGGGATGTGTTCGTTTTCGTTGGTCTTGTTTGAATTTTAAACAGGTACACACCCACACATCATCATGGCCCGTCTGGTAAACAGTTTTAGGTTTACACGACAAAGTAACCGTGGAAATCAATGCATCCTGCTGGACATTGGAGCACAATTACAACAAACCTGCCTTTTTGGATGTTGGTAATATGCCTCGCAATGTTTTGCTTCTACTTGTTATCCATATTTATAATCTAATTCCTTACACAATGGAACAAAATCTCAAACAGGTTGTCTCGTCTTAAAGTAGTTAACATTTTCCCGGAAATCAGCCGTTCCTTTATAAACCACGTCTGACGGGCTGCGTGAAATGAAATCGCACAGTAGGCGCTTGCCACAGCCAATGAGACGAATCCGATGAATCATGGCTTGCTGTGAAAAATCGCAACATATGAGTTCCTCGCGACAAACGTACACATGGCAGCAAGAGTACAGTTTGCCTACAACAGCGGTTGCATACAGAGCGGAAGAAGACGGCAATAAATGTGGGCGAAATGTACGAAATCACAATTATCTCCACACGCTTGTTAAGCTCGTGACAAATGGGACACGATGTGTAGGTACCTAGATCCCTAGCCAGGATAAATGTCATTGAGTAACGCACCCAAACATCGTTGTTGGATTCTAGATATTATCTCTGCAGGAGCTTCTTCTTTTGCGGAAATTCGTACATATTGATGGTCTAATGTAAAACCGCTCCCTTTATTTAGATGGCCGTATGATTGATGAATGCTTACGAGTAGTAGTTGCATGCTGGGTTAAGAAGATTGAATTGTTGATGAATTTCGATACTTCTTGACAACAAAGCCATATAGGCTATAGCGGGGTTATAATAAACGCGCAACGTTCGGCTGTCTATACACGGAGCTTTTATTACTGCGGTCGGTAAATATTGACACGCTTTTGAATGGAAAATATTAACATACCTATTTAATTTTAAATAATCAAATAGCGTTAACAGAACACAGTATATAAAAATCTAGTATGTTTTTGGTTCTGTTAACTACAACACTAATGCTCACTGGTTCGTTCTATCTACTGAATTGGTCGACATGGATCGTGAGAATAGGTCGGAGATATTGGACAATCCAAGGACGAAGTTCAAATCTTCCAACCAGCCATTCCATCCAAACACGGGCTAACTTCAACAACACTGCTTTACAGCACTCATCATTTGAATATGAAGAAATTTCAGGTTAGTTTACTTCATTTAGTAGTTTCCGATAAGGACGAATTGATCATCACTTTAAGAAATCTGAATCCTGAAATCTCAAAACCTAGAAGGAAAATAACGTCATTTCGAGTAATGTCATTTGTACTGTCAACTAGACCAAACTCGTCAAGACCAAAGCTCGATATTGGAATCTGTCAAAATACATGGAACTTATAGGAAATGAACACTCCCCTGCAAATACGGCAAGCACAGCAAGGAACGGTTTTTTCAATGTTATTTATAGTATTTGCACCCGTGACGATGTGAGAGGTATTTAATTGTTTTCTTCAACCTCCACTAAACCTAATCGTTGAACTTTGTATGAAAATTGAGCAGATATTAATGGAAAATTACCTTCGAATTGTTGCAGCAGTTGAAAATTGTGCCTCGCTGAAAAAATGAAAAAGTGAATTACAATTCGGCAGTATGCATGAGTCAATATATTTTTTTTGTTGACAGTCAATGTTTCCCAAGAAAGATGTTCATTGGGAATATATTATTTTACAATCAATATGGGAAATGGCTCTAATGTTGGCCTATGGATTTAAGATTGGGCCCATCGCTAAAAATCTGCTATTTATCAATTTTATCTAGATGAACGTGTCATTGAGACGGTACTAATGGATATTTTTGGTAACTATTGAAAATTTAGACGATTGCTGAATTTATGTATGGGCGCAAATCATTTCAACCATTTTCCCTACTGCTTTTCTGAACAATCCAGAAATATTTCGATACAACAAAGGAAGAAATTTCGGAAACAATATTTGCATGATCACATTAATAGAAATACGTATGGATGGAAATGGAACCTTTCTTAGCCTATTCATCGAAGGCGTGGTCATAGTACCAAACCATGGTAGAGAAGGCGAATTAGATTTCCAATCTGGATATGTTTATAGCTCCCTGGACATAGCATTTCATTGTGTTTACCACACAAAATATGTTTATCCAAATATCTTACCAGCTTGAAAAGCTTTTACCTTTTTTTTGGGTCTTGACAAAAACGTGAACACGGATGACCATTAGACTGATGCAAAATTTGACTTTTTCGCTCCACAGTGCTTAAATGGTTTCGAATCGGGTCCTGATTAGCCTCCCAAAGTTACAACTCATTTGGTTAGAAACACACTTCGCAATCCATTCATGAATTCATGAGTTATGAATTATCACAGAATGTGATGTCCGGGAAAAGCCGAAAACATCCACTAAAGTATTCCGGGCAATGGGCATACATATTTTTTTTTCATAATTAATAAATAATAAATTATTTTCATGTTTGTTATTTTCGTATCAAAACCTAATGTATAAATATATTCACATTATTATTGTAAACACATTTGGTTGTTTGTATTACAGTGCGATGTTTTGAGCACGCACAAACACTCTGCTTCTGTTCTTCTTGTCAGCACAATAGAAGCAAATTATCATAGTTTTTTTTTTTAAATCTATGTTTTATGAAACTATGAAGCTCTAGGATAAGTTCAATGGATTGACCTCTTTTACGGATGATCCGGATCTTCTGGAGGACGGACATATGTAGAAATGGGCCCAAGATTATGCCAGGACAACAAATTCATTGTCATATCACAGTAGTTCCTAAAGTTTTCGAAAAAATCTTTGGAGAGAGATTCATGGCTTGACCACTTTTTCGGATGATTTGGATCTACCGGAGAACGGTTCCATAGCCATCTGGGTCCATTTATATGTCACAACCACAAATTATTTCTTACATCACAGTTACACGTGTTTTCCGAAAAAAAACCGCGGAGCTCTAGGATCAGTTTCATGGATTGACCACTTTTACTGTTGTTTCGGATCATTCGGTGGACGAGTCCCTTGGTCATCTGGGTACATTTTTTTTCACGACCCAAAATTATTTCTTATATCACAGTTCCAATTGTTTTCGAACGAACCACTGTTGCAGTTGCATGGATTGTCTACTTTTTCGGATGTTCCAAATATTTCGGAGGACCAATCTATGACCGTACGTGTCCATGTTTATGTCACGACCTGAAATTCTTTCGTAGGGGAAATAGATGTAATGTCGGCCTACATGCCCCTAATTTGGGCCCATACATAATTTCAACAATCGACTAAATTTTCAATAGCTTCCCAATGACGCGTTCATCTAGATAAAATTGATAAATAGCAGATTTTTAGCGATGGGCCCAATCTTAGATCCATAGGCCAACATTAGAGCCATTTCCCCTATATGACAGTTTCAAGTAGAAAAAACCGTGGAGCTCTAGGATCTGTTTTATGGATTGACCACTTTTACAGATGTGCCAGATCTTTAGGAGGACTGCCCAATGGCCATGCAGATCTATGTCAAAACCTGAAATTTATTCTTTTATCACATTCATGTTTTTGAAAAAAAATTGGTGGGGTTGTGTACAAGACACGTTTTTTTTAGACATTGGTTTAAAATACAGTAGAAATAACCTATGATTTCGGTCCTATGTAAATATTTTGGATTTCCTACATAGTAAAACTTGGTTAATTTCAGGACCTCATAAAAATGCGAATACATATTCTATTTCATTTGGTTCCTAAATTATAATCAGATATGAGTAAGGCTTTCTTCAAGTGATTCATTAAAGCGTGCAACAATGACCGTCATGATGGCTGATATTCCCTATCACTTCAAGATTTCTAGGCAGGCTTGCAATTGCTCATTACAGCTAAAATGCTATTTTTCGGTATTATGAAACAATGGGGTACTATAATAATAATTTTTATTTGTAGATGCAAGAAGAGGTGGTAAAGATTGTATTTGACGTATAAAATTTGTCAATTGTGCTTTTAGAAGATCACAACTAGCGATTTTATGATCGTTGATTGCTCGCTCATCGCGTTGCTCATCGTTACAGCTAATCGCTAGTTGTGACCTTCTGAAAGCAAAATTGACAAATTTTATATGTCATATACAAACTTTACCACCTCTTCTTGCATCTTACAAATAAAAATTATCATTATAGGGTGAATGATGGCTTCGGCAGTCATCGACTGTTTTCGGCAACCACAATTTAAACGTTAATTTCGCTGTATTTTCTCACTAAAACACTTTGCTTCCTCAGTCTTTCAGGTTCAATCATAATACATTTTTACGACTGATTAAATCTGTTATGTCAGGTGTTTCTTCAAATGAAACATAAGCACATGAAAATACGGCTGATTTCGAGTTGCCGATAATAGAACAACTGGTTGACACACAGTTTAAACGGAAAGGTTGCCGAAGTAAAAGAGGCTGCCGACTAGTGCAAACAAACAGACACGTCATATCAGTGCTAACATTTGAAAACGGCACAAAAGCCATTTGTAAACAAATGGTTTGTGGGCCCTTTACTCACTACTTGAAGTACACCCACGCGACACAACAGCAACATCGGGTAGGGGAAATTTTCCCCTTCCTGACGATGCTGTTGGTTTGCGTGGGCTTTCTTCGGGTAGCGAGTAAAGGGCCCACAAACCATTTGTTTACAAATGGCTTTTGTGCCGTTTTCAAATGTTAGCACTGATATGTGTGCGTGACACTGAGGAAATGCTAATAGAAGTGCCGAGTCTGCTTAGATTGCCGAGAATATGTAAATTCCCCTAGTATCCCATTGTTTCATAAAACCGAAAAATAGCATTTTACCTGTAATGAGCAATTGCAAGCCTGTTTCTAGGACACAAATCTTGGACGGTTGTGACATCCCTCATGAGAGCTGATATCTTTACTCTTGAAATTTTTCTATGGTAATGAGATTAATCCTCAGCGATTCAACTTCAAAACGCTAGAAATAAATGCACACACAAAAACGGAGTGCACAATTTTGCATCAATGTTATGCAACATTTCATAGTTGATCGAGATGATATCAATTAGCCATGAGTCCTCCAATAAGTTCTCTGTACATCTTTTATCTACCGGTTGAACCAATAAAAAAAAATACTAAGGCTGTGTTCGATTTGGAAAATTTTCACTTAGATTTGACACTTCGAAAATAAATTAAGATGTTCGAAAATCCCTCTGTTGTAGATCGGCCGATTTTCGAGAAAGTGTCTGTCAAATTGATTCCTTGTCTGTCAGAAATAAGTCTGCTGGAATAGCAGGTGTATTTGAAAATTTTCCATCTGTCAAATTCAAGCAAAAGTTCACCAAATGGAACACAGCCTTAATAACTTGAGCACAGAATCGTTTCTTGTTGTGTTTGTCGTATTAGATGCTAGATAAAAACTTCTTTTATCGATATGTGTGCTGAAAATACCTGGGCCGAGTGGATTCAAGGAGAAAGTCGACGAAGAGAATCTTGTCAGTGTTACTTAGGACCTAATGCAATATTCAGCTTGAATTGTTTCGCTTAGCTGTAAACAGAAAATCGATGAAGAGAATCGAACATTACAAGTAGGCCCTTTTGAAAGCTCACTGTCGAATTTCAGAACCTAGCACTGAAAAAAACTCGACGGTACCTCTATTTATGCTAAGAGATAGCATTGCAAGTCCCTCCTACTTGAAGAATTATGCAAAAAAAATTAAAAAACTGGGGTTTTATAAACCGTTCTATAGCATAATTTCCCAAGTAGGAGGGGCTTTCAGAGCTAATCTAAAAGCATAAATTACTGATAATTTCAGTGCTTGGTACAGCAAACTGTAATCTGTGTAGGAAAATCCTTTTTATTACCACAGAAACACCCCGTTCCCGTTTTCTTATGCAAAATAATGAATGTGCGTTCACAAAACTCACGAAATCTTAAAAAACCATATAAAGATTTTTGTTTAATTCAATCAATAGATCAAAGATGTACCGAGAATTAAATGGAGGGATTTCAAGCTAAAATGTTCTGATCGCGAAATATTGACTATCAATACCGAAATTTCGCATAAATTTCCAACCCGTTTTGTGTGTTGTGTGCTGCTGTCCTTCAGTGTTGCCCAATGATTAGGGAACTTTCATAAATAACGTAGTAGTTGAGGGAGGAGAGGGGTTTCAGAAGTTGGGACCGGTGTATTGCAAAACACGCTCCGAGGGGGAAGGGGGGTTAATTGGTCAAAAATATACGTAATTTATGGATGACCCTAATTTTACTTCCAAGGCTGCAATTTCCGGCATTTTCGAAATGTCACGTTTAAACACGAGTTAAATTTAACTCAGCAATTGGTACACAGCCCAAGAAGTATTTCTCGATTACTTTTTCGAAGGAACGTATCAGCTTTTGTAAACAATGCATTTGATGATCGATTTGGCGTAACTGGTAGCTCGCCCACGCATGCTAGTACTACCATCAGATAGGGGAAATTTTTTCCAACCTGTTAGCGGTGTTAGTATGTGGGGCGAGCTATTAGTTATGCCAAACCGACGATAAAATGCGTTGTTTACAAAAGCTGATATGTCCTTCCAAAAAGTA